TTATTTTGTATGTAAAAAGTAACTAACACCTTTTCTCCCCCTATTTTGCCGTCTGTTTCCGCAGCACGCATGCCACAGTTCAAAATCCTGAAAGGAGAACTAAAGGATCAGCCAATGCAATAAAGTCAACAGCAATTCCAGGTGTTTGCCAGCAGGAGCCACAGGATACGAGTATTTCTTTCAGAACCTATAAGTATTCACATTAAAGCAGAAAAACCAAGATAAATCAGTGAAATTAGAAAATGCAAGACACGGGAACGGTCCTTACACACGCAGGCCAAAAGGGCTGTGGCGGACACCGCGGGCCTGAACACAAAGGCTACGGCACAACTTGCACTTCAGAGTCTTGTCCTGGAGCCACGCACGAGTGAATCCACCTCTTGCTTACAAAGCCCTTTCAGTGCTCCCATTTTACAGCATTTTTTCTTCTTCCCCAAGGACTGTATTTGTTGAAACAAGCCAGGGACTGGTCTGGGTTGTAGGAGATCCTGTGAGTTTCACACAATAGCCCATACGTTTTGTTGCAGGAACAGGTTATGCTCCTTCAGCTTCAAATACTGCAGCCCTTTACAGTGGTTTTGTAGCCCTCCTCTGATTTCTCCCCAACACCTCTCGAGTGTATTGACATGAAAACCAGAGCCAGCATTCTAGTACGCTTTTCTAGTACTTCAGACAAAAGCTTTTCCCCAACTCTGATGAGAAACCAAAAAAACCCGTATAAAGCATAAAAAGAGGATCAGAAACCAAACCAGCAGTAATGAAAACTATTCCAGAAAGTGCACATCTCATTAAAGTTATTTTAAAGAATAACAACCTGTTAGTATGGCAGACTCTGCTAAATCAGTACATCAGTGGCCAACATTTTTAAAGTCAAATTACCAAACTAATGCAAATCCCTGGCTGCGTATGTAGCCCCAGATGCTAACACAACTTCTAAGAGAATGAGATTCTGGTAAGAGTTAAAATTAACTCTTAATTCAAGTCTGATACAGGTGAAAATAGTTCTTAATTCAAGTCTGGATTGATTAAGAGTTAGGATAAAAAACAAGTAAAAGCAAGAGGAAAGCTTGTTTTCATCTGCCAGTCCACAAGATCACGAAGCAGCTGGTGGTTAAAAGCAGCAACTCATGCACTGACTTCAGACGTTTCCTTTATCAATTGATTTTGTCAGACACTGAAGGATTGTTAGCAGGAAAGTTAAACTACAT